CAAATCTCTTCCTCCCAAAGAAGCTGGCCTGGAGCAACCCATCACCCCATAAATCCACATGCAGGAGATGAGACAGCCTGGATACAGGCAGATGATACAGATTTGATTAGAATCCTCTATTTGCCATCAAGTGCTTCATAGTACCCAAAACCTAGCTGTTAAAAAGCCAAGTACCTGTGACTAAGTCAGAAAATGTCCCATTTTTTGGGGGGGTTACCCAACCTGCTGCCTCTGAGACCAGCTCAGAACATCCCCATGGACCCCGAACTCCACCTTGCTGGACTTTGTGGGCACTGTGCACCCAGAAGGGAGGGAGGAAGGCTGAAATCTCCCTCTGCAAGAGCAGGGAGGCCCCAGTGAAGCTCTGATACTTGCAGGCTGATAAACAGAGGTGGAAAGGGGAATCGAGGGGTCATCCAGTCCCTGGAGATGAAGCTGTTCTTAGAGCTGGGCAGAAATAAAACTGTGGTTGATGAGCAAGGCTTTGTGAATGAAGCCAGAAGTTTGCACATGAAAAGAAGGGATTGTGAAGAATTTCAGAATTTAAAAAGGCAAGGAAAAAAATGTCTAAAGTGCCAAAATAGGGGGTGTGGGCAATTCCAGTGGGGCCTTTTCTTCTACAATTGAAGAAAAATGAATTAAAGAAAATAGAGGAAAAAAAGTCAGTATCAAAACACAGCATGTTGTTTGACCAGATACCATTTCACTCCACCAAAATCCTCATTTCAGTTTGAAGAAATCACCAGAACAATCCTCCAATTCTCACATATCCACAGGACATTACAAGCCCTTCCCACTGCAGAACCTACAAAGAAACTACATTCAGCACCTTCCTTCCAAATCCAGCTATTTTTTGGCTCTGTCTCCAACTCTGAAACACTATGACAGAGAACCTGGAGCCTCTGACCTTGTCTGGTGATGCTGTTAATCCCAGCTTTTTATCCAAGACAATCTTCAAGACGAACTATATTTTTTTAATTGAAAATTTTGCTTTCTACCTTGTTCTGCAGAGCTGCCTTTTGGTTTCCAAGCTCTGGACACAGTTGTGTTAGGGCTCCCTGAGCTGGGACCACATGGGGAAGTGATTTAATTGTCAAAGCAAGCACGAGCTCGCTGTCTGGCAGAGTGCCAGCATGGGCTGTGGTGTGTGAGGAGAGCTGCATGGATTAGGTTTTGCTTCTGACGTTGGTGCCTTGCCTTTTGTCCTTTGGGTGGCATTGCTTGCACGGGAAGGGAGGAGGAGGCAAACTGAGAAGATGCACTTTAGCCAGCTGGGTGTCTGTGCCACTGAGTGTGCCCCAGTGCTTTGTGCTGAGACCCAAAATCAGCGTGGGGGTGTCTCAGGGGTTCCCCTCCTGAGCTGGCTGCAGGGCAGGCGGGATAAGCAGCAGCCCATGCTCTGTGCTCCTCTGAGTGGCAGCAAGAAATGAAAGTGAGCATCCTGGGGTTGGTGTGTGCTGGCTGAGGTGAGCAGGTGGGCTCCCTGCATCCAACAGTGGTGGGGGTTTGTGTGGCTTTAATGCAGGGCTTTGTCCTGAATCTTATTTTTCTTCTTTGATTTGGCTCTGCTTTTTCTTTTAGATAGCTCCTTAGGTTATAAATGGAGTTTCATTTTGGGTTAAAGACCACCAATGTTTATGTCAAGCTTTGGAGAAAACCTTTACCCTCTCTGTCCTTCTGTCTTTCCTGCCCACCACAGTAACATCCCAAACTTTTTCTTATAGCCACTGGAAAATAAAGCTGGAAAATACAACTGACATTTGTGATTCAGAACCCTCTCAAAGCACAGCTGATACCACAAATAACTCGAAGTGTTTTCAGGACTATGTGGGTGTTTGTCTCAACCCCTTGGTAGGGATGGCTGTACATGACTGTGCTTCACCTACTTTTTTGTTATATGTCATATATCTTAGGCAAAGTATTAATTTATATGTATGATATTCATTTTGTCTATACAGATACCATTCAGCCTCATTTGGGGAGCCCCAGTGATCCAGAATTTTAACTGGCAGATGAAGCAGGGAGCTCTGTTGCAGTAAGTCCAGCTTCTTACAAGGTTCAGTGGTGGGATGCAGTTGCAGATTTGGGATTGTAAGAAGAATCCCAGCTTTCTGAAATCCCAATGATGAGTCTTAAATTCGTATGACTGATGGAAAGAATAACTCAATGGGAATCTTTCCCCCACTAGAAGAGACTTCCACATAATTAACTAATCCCCTATTCAGGCACAAATCCTATGGGAAGAGGTTGGGTTTTGGTCTGAATAAAACATGGTAAAATCTACACTGAGAAAAATGACGGTTGACATACAATGGTGTGTTTACAGTGAGATACCTGAGCAAATATTGTACTTCCTTTTGGCTTAATTAGTGTCATATGTTAAAGAGATAAATAGTCTTTCTCTGTGTTGAGGAAAAAATCCTCCTATTAGGTTCTCAAAGCCCAAATATTTGTCTGAATGATGAAGGCATTATTTTTTGGCAACAAATTCAGCTATTTGAAATGCATCATTTACAGGATAGAGCACTGTTTTGGTTGGACTCTTCTGGCTCTAGTGCAGAGCTGGAAGAGTAACAAAAATTTTGGTTGACATTCCTATGGCTTCACAAGATTACACTTTTTGAGGGGGGAAGTGTTCCTCAAACAAAAATGATGATGGATTTCGAAGCTAAATTCTGTGTCCTTTCCTCATGGAAGTCTCCTTTGTCCTTATCAGGTATCTGAAGTATTGTATTCCAGGAGCTCTACAGGACACGTGCATAGAAAAATTCAACATCAAACCACCCTTTTTGAGCTAAAACCTGTCTTCCTGAAAGATGTCTGAATATTTATTTACAGCCTTCCTGTGACAGAGGATCCACCAGGTACCCAGGTACTTTCTCATACTACTTGATTACCTTCACTCAAACCCACACAACAGATTTGTAGTTTGAAGTGGTTGCATGATCCACTCTTGGCATCTCACCTGTACTTATTCTGCTGAGCAAAGTTGCTCACTTTCATCACATATCACATATCCCTCCCCTAAGCATAGGGCAGGGATATGTGATACCCCTCAACATATTTAAAGATGGATCTAGACTGAGCTTCCCTAGTCTCCTGCCACAAAGCCTGGCTTCCAAAACTAATGTAATTCTTCTCACTGTTCCTCGGAGAAGGGCTTTGCTAATGCTGTACATGAAAATAATACAACCTTTCTTTTTCTGCTTGATATTCCCCTGCTCATATCTACAAGGGTCACATTTGCTGCTTTATTTACAGCACCACACAGAGTTTGCATTCAGTGGGTTGTGCACAATCCCCCCTCAGTCCTTGACACCACTGCTGTTTGGCAGAAGACATTTGCCTTTTGTTTATATTTGAAGTGTGTTCTTCCCCGCTGGACATATGACTTTGCCTTTGACTCTGCTGTTGAACAAGCCCTTTTCATCAAACAACCAGAGTTAGGCAGCACAACTGACTCATTACCAGCAGGAATTGCTATTCTGCCCACTTTGGGGTCATGACCACTTTTTGCCATCAGGGATTATATATTTTCTTTCACATCTTTGATAAAGATACTGAAGAGTACTGAGCAAAAAGAAAATCTTACTGTGAGTCTATAAGAACATGCACTGCATACTAATATCTCACTGATCCTTCTTTTCTAAAATACATTTTGTTACTTGTTGTTAGTCCACTGAATAAGGGCCACATGGATATCTTTAGTGTTGCTTAATCAAAACAGGACTAAATGTGAATTACAGAAATCTTTTTCATCAGTGGTTGCTTCCATCAACCAAGTCCTTGTAATTTAATTAAATAATTGTTTTTATTTTTAAATAGTTTCTCTTGATCCTTGTTGGCAATTTCTTTTTGCTTAGGGGATAGGATATATATTTTTTTTAATTTCAAGCATATTGATGCCCAGGCCTACATTTTGCTGCCACTTATGAAATGGAATAACAATATGATCCTTTGCATCTAGAAAACCATCATTTTCTAACCTGAGGTGCAACTCATTATGTTCTACAAAAACAAGGTCTAATGCAGAAATACCCCAAGCTGATTTCAAGTATTTTTATATAGTTTATATATTTAGAAACTTATAAACAGCTTTTTGAAACCCCAGGGATGCTTCTCCATTGGTAGCACACGACCTTCAGTCTCTGCTTCCCAGCCTTAAATCTCCAATCAGACATAAAGGATGAATCCTGTCTCTGCACTCCAGGGTGGTCTGCAGTGGACACTTCACCCTCCCAGGACTCCTCCCCGGCCAAGGGAGCCAGTGTTTGCATTGGGATTTCCAGGCATTTTGAGCTTTACCCAAACAGTATCTACGGCATGTCAGACCGGCTTTGATGGAGACTGCCCTTCCTCTCTCCCTCCTTCCCTCCCTCTTGTCTTGCCTGGCTGTAGCAGTGATTCCAGCATCCCCATCCTCTGTATCATCACAGGGACGCTCGGTAATATCCATCATCTCGCACAAACGTTCCCGTTCCTTCAACCTAGTATCAATCTGATGCTTGAGTACTCCAATATCTCCATTAAGTGCCTGTATTTTTGTTGACTTTTGTACCTGGCTGTGGCTGCTTGGTTCTATCTCCTCCCTGGTCAGAGGAAATGGAAGTGCTGCAGCGGCTGCAGTCTCGCAGACCCGAGGACGAACAGCAGCGGACAAACAGCGCCAGGACCGACCCCGGGGGCTGCGGGCCGGGAGCGTGAGAATGTGAGTGCAGAGAGGGGACCCCGGCCATGCCAGGGGGACAGCCCCACAGGGTTGGGGACAGCTGCCAGGGGTGGGGAGCGGGCTCGGGAGGCCCCGGCGGTCCCCGCCCGCGGCGCCTTCAGCACCACCAGCGGCGGACAGCGCCCGGCCCCGGGAGCGGAGCCGCGCTCGGAACGCGCCCCGAGCCCGCAGCGGCCCCATCCCCACATCCCCACCCCGGGGGCAGCCCCAGGCGCTGCCCCAGGCCTCCCCCCGCCCTTCCCCGGCCCGCCCCGCCGCCGCGGACACTGACCGAACATCTGGATGTGCCCCTTGGTGATGGGGTTGAAGCTGCCGCAGGCCAGCAGGATAACGTGGGTCTTGGTGGTCTCGGTCATGGTGCGGCCCTGCCCGGCCCCGCCGCGGTCTGAGGCTCGGTGCGGCTGCGGGAGGGAGGAGGGCGGAGGATGGAGCGGGGCCGGGCGGGAGCGGGGGCGGCGCCGCGGCTGCGGGAGCCGGGCCGGGGCCGCCCCTCGGCAGCGCGGCCCGGGGCGCGCCCCCGCGGGGTCCCGCACACGCGTGTGTGGTGCGCTCTCGGTGTCACAGCCCGCGGGGACAGCGGCACTCGGCCCGGCACACACACAGAGATGGGCACGCACCCGCTCTGTGTGCGCTCACAGCCACAGGGGCGCGGCAGGGACACGCCGGCATCCCCAGGACTGTGGAGATGGAACGGGAGGTTCAGCCTGCAGGTGAGGAGGCTGAAAGGTGACCATCACGGCCTACAACTCCCTAAAAAAAGGGTGCAACCCCTTGGGGGGTCAGTGTTTTCTCCAGGCAACCAGCGACAGGACAAGGAGACATAGTCCCAGGCCGACAGACATCAGGAGGAATTTCTTCACAGAAGGGGTGATTAGACATTGGAATGGGTTGCCCAGAGAGGTGGTGGAGTCTCTGTCCCTGGAAATATATAAGGAAAGGCTGGACGTGGCACTCAATGCCATGATGTAGCTGACAAGGTGGTAATTAGTCATAGATTGGACTTGATGGCCTCAGAGGTCTTTTCCAGCTTAACTGATTCTGTGATCTGCACAAGTCAGTGCTCATGAGCAGCAACATGTGTTCCCCCTGCTGCTCAGGCAGTCCCTGCATAGGTCTCCCAGCTGCTCCAGCCCCAGCACAACATTGCTGCAGCCCATTAGGGAAAATAACTTGTGGGGCTTCAGCTTCACCCAACACATCAATTTCATTGCCTGAAAGAGACCAACATTAAATAGATGCTATGCATTCACCAAAAACCAGACTTTACTGCAAGGCAAACTAGTACCAGACTACCCAGCTGTCTAATTCTCTAAATGTCTCATTTGTAGGACTGCAGCATTGTTGTTCTTCACTAAAGAAGCTCCTTGCCCTGAGCAAGAGTCAGCAGAGCCCTCTCTGCCTGCAGCCACTAAGAAGAGCTGCATGCAGCTGCCTTCAGCCCCTTCCTGAAGGCTGTCCTGGCCTCATCTCTGGCTCCTACATACAGATTTTTCTCTCAGCAGGGAGTTTTTTGCCACCAACAGGTCTCCCTTGCTACCTTCATCTGTCTTCCTCCTCTGTCCTTAAGAGGACACTCCCCAGACATTAATTTCTGCCTTTTCATGGCAGAGGCTTTTAGCCCTACCCACAGCACTGTGCTGTGTTTCTCCATGTCCTGTTAAGATTAATTATTAACAGTCTTTTGCTCGAAAATTTTTTCCCTCCCAGCTCAGCCAGGTGCTGGGATACTCATCAGCCTGAGTGATATGAAGGAGCAAGACCACTAGGGAATGAACCTAGGAAATCAGTGTTCATCTCCTGCACATTCCCACTCAGGATGGTGTCCTACCCCCTTCCCTTGGAGGTGGTACAACTGCCCTGATATGAAATATGGGGGTGTGCCCTTTATGAGAAGATTTTTCACTGGTTCCTTTTATATAGAAGAGGCTGAAATTGAGGTGAGACAGCTGATTTTTTTATTAATCCTGACCCCATTCCCTGCCAATTTTGCATGGGAAATTTTGCAGGGGAGCATGTTTTCCCTTCTGCAGCTTATACAACCTGCAGCTGTAGGAGCATTAAGCGCTGCTGTTGCAGAAGGCACAAGTGGACAAAACTGCTGGTGGCCAAGTTCTCCCACTGCCTGGTGATGCCAAACACATCCCACTGCTCCTGACAAGCTCCTGCCATGCAGCTGAACCTCTCTGCCTGCTTTGTTTCACACGGAGAGTTTGACCTTAAACACCACTGAAAGATCAAGATCACCTGCCCAGACATAAGTTACACACTGCCTGGCCATGGTGGGGACAAGGTGGAACCCAGCACTGCCAGGCCATGTGAGGATGAGGTCTGGGCAGGCTCTGGCAGAGTCTGTAGCTCTTCCCTGGCTTTCCTGCTGGATGGTGAGTGATGTGGTAAATCAGCTGTCACTTAGCAACGCTGCCGGCTGGGGAGCGGTGGCAGGTTTTGGTGCGGGAGCGATGCCTGCAAGGCTGTGCACTGGTTATTTCACCTTTTCCCCCTCAGTGTTTCCCAACCCAGCGTGTATTTTCTTTCACTTGCTGCTTTCCCTGAACATGTGGGTGCAGGTTTCCCATGGCTGAAGACAGCAGCCCCAGCTGCAGGAGCCACATGTTCCCTGCCAGCCTCCCTGGGGTTGTTGTGCAGTGCTGGAGCACCCCGAGACCCCCAGTGGATTTGAGCTCCAGCCCAGCCCATGGTGGCAAGCAGCCATCTGCCACCTGCAGAGCTGGCACAGCAGGACACAGAGGGGGCAGAAGGATGATTAGCTGGGGTTTATTCCCTGAGGGAGACAGCAGCATGGACAAACACAGGGACCTGCCTACAGAGGGAGCTCATATCAGCACTGCAAAATCGTTGTCTATGGGACTTGAGACCTGTTAAGCACACCTGGAACATGGCCTGAGGCTCACACCAAGGGTATTTCTGCACATGAATTTGTCCAGCTCTTCACCATCTGCACAGCCAGGCCTCAAGAGCAGGGGGCCGTGCAGCAGAAGGCAGGAAGGTCATGGCTGTGTTCATGGGCTGAGGGATGGGGACCCCTCAGTGCTCCCTGCACTGCCTCTCACCTTCTCCCTCCTCTTGGGAGCAGGAAGAGAAGCCTTCCAGCTTAAGGCTTTTAAACTAACAGTCTGCAAACTCTTCGGAAGAACTCAAATCTATCAGAGAAAAGGACAATTAGAGGGGCTTAAACCATTTGTGAACCCATCCTGGCACATTTTGGAGCCTTTTCTGATGAGGGTTGAGAAGCACATTCAGTTCTGCTCCCCACATGCTAGCCCTATGACTCTAAGAAATTTTTGTAATGCAACAGTGCACTTTAAAAGGAAAAAAAAAAAAAAAAAAGAAAGAGGCCTTTCCTTGAGAAGAGGCAAAAAATCTTGAATAAGGGAGTGCTCACCTGATAGCCCAGTTGGAATAAAACCCCTGGTTCCCACAAAGGCAGATTTTTAGTTTATACCCATTTTTGAGATACAATCTGAATGTATCTAGCCAAAACTCAGGCTTGCAAACCCAGCCCATGGGAGGGAAAGGATTTGCAAATATAAAGAAGCCAGACGGAGCTGGCAGATTGGGCCAGGCCAGGCAGGCCAAGCTGACCCAGTTGCTCATGGAACAACAGCATAGGACAATAAATGGAAGCACTTGGGAGTAGCTGCTATGCTGGGAGCCTTGTTGAGATGGAGGGAGCTGCCAAACCCACAGTGACCAGGTCTGAGGCCACATGGGGTGGGACAGCCTGGCCCAAAGGGAGAAATCTTCCATTTTGGATGACCCTTTGTAGGAGTGGATATTCAAATAAAGAGGGAGTAAACAAGGCTGAAAAGCAGCCAGTGAAAGACATGACTTAAAACTGAGGTTTGAAAAATTATGAGTAGCCTGGGGAGCTCTTCTCAGGGCTTGGTTTCTCAGGGCTTGGTTCATCATGCACTGGAAGAAGATGCCCAAGGGTGCCATGAGATAAAGCTGGAGATCTATAGAGGTTGAGGACTGTGAACTGACCCCAAGTGCTGTGCAGTGCTTCTGGGACACTGGCCTGACATTTGAGGCAATCTCCTGGGGAAGGTCAGCCTGGGAACCAGCTCCTCTCTTGCCCACGCTCAGCAACACCAGCTGGCCACAGGTGCAATTATCTTGGCAGCCCTTTCAATGTTTCTGAGGTTACAGCTTGGACCAGTCTGTGCAGGTGGGATTGTGGCTGGGTTCATGGGATGGGCAGTGAGGCTGAGGCACTCAGCATGGATCCCTGGGAATGGCTGCTTGCTCTCTCCTTTCCAAAAGTGAGCTAGCTTTTAGTCAGTGTGAAAGGGTACTTCTGCTCAGAATGTGCAGCACTTATTCTCAAAAAATTAAAAGGAAATTTGTTACTTTATCAATTATAAGGATTAGAAGGAATTTCTCTAAGAAATGGGGCCTATTTTATAATTTTTTCTTTCTTCTGGGTGATATTTGCAAGGAAATAATGAAGGCTTAACAAACCTCTACACAGTTGAAATTCCTGAAGTTTTACATACAGGTTATATTTGGGGAAAAGAGATTATTATTAGGGTAAGATGAGGCTTTTGTCACTAACAATTCAAAATCTAAGTAGGATAATCTGGGATGATAACAAATACGCTTTACTCATGATAACATTACCAATCAGGAAGAATAGAGGACAAAATTAGGATTGTTTAGGTATCTTCATGCTTTGTTTCTTCTTTTGAATGCTGTTGAGTGCTAATTCCCCACATCACAACATTTAGATTGAAATAATCACCAAAGCTGCAGAGAATTTGATGTTTCATCATTCAGCTGTTGAGCTGTTCACTCATCTTTGCTTGATCCCAGGTTTTCATGCTGAGCAGCAGGAGAATTTGATGTCTCAATGACATAAAAGCCAAAGTTTGGCACGGAGACAGAGGACAGTCCAGTGCCCCCTCTGTCCATGAAAATATCCACACCTGAATATATTTTCAATATATATTTTCAACCTGAAAAAAATGTGGGGGACTTATTTTTGAAACATGATCTTTCATTTTGTCCCCAGGTCACTTACAGACTCAAATGACACAACTTTTATTAGCCAGACACCTCGTGCTCATCTGATCCCAAATTTTCCTCTGCCTCATTTCTTCAGGCTGGCTCATTTGCTCAAATGGGCACTGAACTCAGTGGGATTTTTCCTGCCACAAAAAAAAAAAAAAAAAAAAAAAAAAAAAAAAAAAAAAAAAAAAAAAATTGGAGCACAAATCAAGTCCCCAAGTCAGCATGGGAGGTGGGACCACATGGGATAAGTAGTGGAAATACTGTAAATATTGAGCAGTGATAGAATGTTGCACCCAGGTGCAAGGTTACTCCCTGATGTGCCCAGGTCCTGGCTCCATGCTGAGGGGGAGCTATGTCCAGCTCCAGAGTCCCAGCACAGGAAGAACATGGAGCTGCTGGAGTGAGTCCAGACAAGGCTACCAAGATGATCAGAGGGATGGAACAGCTTTGTTATGAGGAAAGGCTGGGAGAATTGGGGTTGTTCAGCCTGGAGAAAATAAACTTCAGTGTGACCTAATTGTCTCAAGACAGGAGAGACCTGAAGCTCCTGGAGCAGGCCCAGAGGAGGCTGAGGAGATGAGGAAGGGCGTGGAGCAGCTCTCTCGAGGAACCTGTGGCTGTTCAGCCTCCAGAGCAGACCCAGCTGAGAGGGGCCCTCATCCCCCTGTGTCCCTGCCTGCAGGGAGGGCTCAGAGCAAGGATCAGGCTCTGCTCCCTGGGGCCCAGCAATGGGACAAGGGACCATGGGCAGAAATGGATGCCCAAGAAGTTCCACCTGAGCATGACCAAGAACTTCTTTCCTGTGCAGTGACTGAGCACTGGAGCAGAGACCAGAGAGGCTGTGGAGTCTCTCACTTGGAGGTATTCCAGACCTGTCAGGACACAATCCTGTGCCATGTGCTCTGGAATGACCCTGCTTGAGCAGAGAGGGGGGACCCAATGACCCACTGTGATCCCTTCCAATCTGCCCCGTTCTGTGTTCCTGTAACTCTGTGGCGGGGCCCCCGCTAGCCCCAAGGGCCTCCCGGTGAGCGGCCCCTCCGAGGGCCGAGGGGAGCGGTGACAAAGCCGGCGGTGGCGGCGCGGCTCGGGCGGCGGATGCAGGCCCCGGGATGCGCCGCGGTTGCCATGGCGACGCCCCACCGCCCCCTCGGTTGCCATGGCAGCGGGCGGGGGAAGGGTTTGCCGGTGGCGCCGCCGGAAGTGCCGGCGGGGGCGGGGTCCGGCCCGGAAGCGCGGCCGGCGCGGCGGGAGGGCCGCAGCGGCTCGGCGGGGCGGGCGAGCGGCGAGCGGACGCCGCCGGTGCCGGAGCGGCGGAGCCGGGGCTGCCCGGGCCGCCGAGGGGCCGGAGCGGCGGGGCCGGCGGGGCGCGGGCGGGCCTGCCGGGCCGGAGCGCAGAGCGGGAACACCCCGCCCCTTCCTCCCCGCGGGCCCTGCACGGGAAGATGGCGGCGGCGGGAGGCGGCGGCGGCGGTGGCGCGGGGGCGGCGGGCCGGCCCGGGCTGTGAGAGCCGCGGCGGGACGGGCGGCGAGCGGCGGAGGATGAGCCTGCTGTGCGCGCAGTATCTCCGGTGAGTCTCTCCGGGGCGCGGCGGGCAGGCGAGGCCGCGGCCGGGCGGCCCGGGAACGGCGGGGAGAGGGCGGACCCGGAGCCCTCGGGCCTCGCAGCGGCTCTGAGGGGCGCTGGGCCGTGCCCGGGCCGGTGTGCGGGACCCGGCCCCCGCGCTCCCGAGCCCCGCGGGCGGCCGGGCTCGGCTGCCGCATGGCCCAGGGCTCCCCAGCAAGGTCACGCCGGTGCCGTGGAGCCGCGGGGAGGGTGGGAGAGTCCAGCGGCTTCCCTGGCGGAATTCCCCATCGCTTTCCGAGGGGGTGGCCCGGTAACCCAGCGCTGCGGAGCGAACCCAGGTTTGACCCCGGCTGCGGAGCGGGAGCAGCGCTCGCAGCCCCGGGAGGTGCTCTGGGAGAACGGGAGTAGCTGGAGTCGTGTCTCAGCCCTCGCCATCAGCTGGAAGTCCTCAGTCACGGCTGGCACAGCCGGTCTGTGCCGGGCACGGGTAGCGGAGGGCTTGGGAGAGGAGTGAGGCTGCCAGGGCTGTGCTTTCATACTGAACCGTTCCCCAGTCCCTCAAGTCGAGAGCACGAGATAGCTCACGGTGATACGAGCAGAACTTTGATAGGCTCTGGGGTGAATTTACACCCAAATGCTCGTTCTCTAGTGGTTCTCTAGTGGCTTTGGAGAGCAGCGTCGTGAGCTACAAATGGCTTTTCAGTAGCTGTAAAGTACTCACTGTCCAGGTTCGTGATCGTGTTGTGTCACCCTTGATGCTTCCAGAACACCTCATGGAAAAGGAGTAGGTATGCCAAAAGGGCATGCACGTTCCTACTGAGGAGTTCAGGGCTTGGGAGGGATTTAGAAGGAGTGAATCCAATGAGGATTTTACATTTCTAAAGCACTTTCTATACAGAGTTCTGAAACACTTCGACAGTCTCTCCAAATTCCTCCCTTCCTCCTCATCTTGTCTTTTGCCTCTGCTTCCTTCTGTTATCCCAGATCCTACCTCAGGTTGATTTCTTCAAAAAAGAAAAAAATGTAATATTTTTTTATTTAATAATGAATTTATGACCTTTTGCTCTTCCAGATGAGTATACCTATGCTGTCATGAAACTTCTTCCTTCTTTCTTTCCTCTTACATCATGACAAAGCTTTTAAATGTTTTATTATTAGCACTCTTCTATCAGCAGAAGACTTGCTTTTTTATTGTAGGACATGTCTTAATAATACTGTGACATGTGGCTCCGTGTTCCCTCCTGTGAGTGCACGTGTCCTTTGGGCTGTGGGAGGCTGTACCATGTTACACATGTCCCTGCTCCTGTCACCTTCCTGCACCACCAAGCTCTTCCATAGCACTTTGCTGTGCCAAGCTGCAAATCCTTCCTGCAAGCTGTGGGCAGGAATCACCAGTTTCTCCTCTCTTTGTTCCTCTCACACTTCAGCTCATCCTGGGTTGTTCCTGCTTTTTCCTGGCTGCTTTGTTTATGTTGTGCCAAAGCAACAGGACTGGAGCGTGTGCACATAACTAATGTGTTACAGTCAGTGTCTCTGTCACCAAGAGCCTCATCTCTTCCTAAAACAGGACAGTCCCCCTTCTAAACTTTTCATCACCTTCCTTCTGCCTCTGAAGACCATTTGGGTTTGTTCTCTCTACAGAAGGTGTGCTTGGGGAAGGTTTCCTTGAAAAGCTGTGAAAGGCTTTTTGCATCCACAGAACGTACATTTAAATTGTTTGATTTGCATAGGGCAGAAATGCAGCTGCAGATTACTGCAGCCCAAGCTCATAAAGGGAACTGGGAATTAAGCCTCAGACTCTCAGAGCCAGTTCTGTTAGTCCTCTGTCTAAAGGAGGAGGGCATGCTCCTTTTTACTGAGGCAGGACAGGCTCAATCCAAATGTAGAAGGGATAGGCCAAAGTGTAACAATGTGAGAGGGCAGCTTAGCAAAATGTTGTGCCCAATGAAGACATGAGGCAAGCAGTCTGTGCTGTCTTCATTGTCTTAACACTAAGGAGGGACAGAAAAGTTTCTGCAAGAAATCGTTTTTCTGTGTATTTGGATTTTAGACAGATTTCTAAGGTGAACATGTAGCGATTGAATACCTAGTGAAATAATGACTCTGCAAGAATCAAGCTGTTGAAATGATGAGTGGGGAAGAATGGACTTTTAGCTGGACTACCTTAACTCTTCCACTTCTGGGTTCTTGCTTTCTGTATGTGTGTGAATCAGCTATTTTAAAATGCTATCCTTGAAGGACTGTGCCCCTTCAATCAACCTGTGAGAACTGAGGAACACATGAGCCCCCTACAGAAGTCTTCCAGGAAGAGCAAATAAGGTCAGGCTTCGTGTACTGAGTCTTTGAAAAGTTGCAGGAAAGTCTGTTTTTAAGTCATCTTCCTATGTTGCAATAGATTTTTGGGATTTTTGCTTTCCCAGTTTTATCCTTTTCAAAGTCATCTGTCAAGGGTATTGGAGTATATCCTCTCCCATCTAGTTTCCTACATACTTCACTGGAGTCATTGTTTGAGTCACTTCTCAAAGACTTGCACTGCATCTGGTAAGGTGAGTAGACCTTTCAGAGGGCTCTTTTAGGAGACAAGAACCTAAAAGATATTTTAGGAAACAGGGACATTGTTCAAGTCTCCCTGTTCAGGTGAATCTGTTCATTGCCACTGGCTGAAAATTTGTATCCATGCTATTTGTGCTGCTTAGGGAATCTACAAGTACTCTCCAGAAATCAAATTAATCTCACAGGGCACTTATTTTAAACTAGACATTTCATGTATCCTGCTAGATATAAAAAGTCACTTTTAAGCAAAATATCACTGAAAGGATTTCTGACACAATAGCACAGAAACTTGTGAGCACATCCATTTTATAAGCCCGTGTTGAGCTTTAGTCCATGTTTATTCACTTCAGAGAAATGATCTTCAATGCCAATTTTATGTGTTAATGTTCAAAAAGGAGTTAACTAGGATTCAGAAGTTTAGCAGTTTGACAAATGATTGTCTCAACTGCACTTCAAAAAGATGTGAGCTCAGTTACCAGTTAAATGGGGCATTGCTCTGGTAAACTGTGGCTTTTAGCACAAGCACAAATGTAGAATAAAAAGTGCTTGAATTACAGGGCTTGAACACTGCTTAGAAATTCCAGTGCTGATGAACCAGTAGGTAGTTTCCTGTAGCCTTATGATGAGGCTATAACCAAATTCATTAAAGGTTTGACTGCTTTAATAATTCAAATTGTGGGTCTCTTTTTTGAAGCCTCATCAGTAGCTCCATTAACTTGTGCATCTGCTGTGTCTCTTCATGGTTACTCCTTTGCTGTCTGCCAGCCTGTGACACACCTCTTTGCAGAGTTTCTGCTCTGTTGAAGGAGGAGGCCAGAGCAGAGGTAATTGCAGTCTGTGTGTGAGCATGTTCTGGTACTGATTCCTGGTCAGAATGATGCAGAGGTGATGCTTGTCTGTGCTGGAAAGGCACCAACCAGAATACTGCTTGAATGAGTCTCAGCAAGGCTAAGGCAGTTATTTAATTATCTTGGGAGTATATGAAGGAAAAAGTTAGTAAATGTAACCTCTTAATAGAGAACCCTGTGTCCCTGCAATGGACTTCTGGAGTTGGCAGGGTCACAAGGCTGGAGGAGAGGCCTCAGGAGGCTCCTGTCCAGCCTCCTGCTTGCAGCAGGGACAGCTCTGGGCTCAGACCAAGTGCCCCGGGCTTGAAAACCTCCAGGGATGGAGACATTTCAGCCTTTTGGGGCAGCTTGAATATCCTTGTGGTGGAAAAGATTTTCTGTACATCCAGTCTGAACCTCGCCTGTTTTATCTTATGCCCATTGTCTCTTGTGCTCCCACATGGAGAGCTGGATCTATGTTCTCAATCCCCTTCCTGGAGGCATGTGGCAGCTGTGGGTGGCCTGGAGCCTTCCCTGCCTCACACTGACCTAGCCTGGCTGCACAGCCTCTCCTCCAGTCCCAAATGCAAGTGCTCCAGCCCTGACTGCTCTGGAGGCCCTGCTCCAGTTGTTCCACAGCTTTCTTGATTTGTCTTGGTATCTGAACATGACCAAATCAGTCTTGGAAAGTATTCCCTCCAGCTTTTTGTTTTCTGAAATGATTAATGCTACTATCATACAGTGTTTACTCTTGAATTTTAAGCAAGATGTAGTGGGGTCTGCTTTGGCCTTCCAGGAGACACCTCATAGATGTTTTTCTTTGGGGTCTGCTTTGGCCTTCCAGGAAACACCTTATTGATGTTTTCTTTGGGGAGCATAAAGTCTCCTTTCTAGTTTTGTCTTTTTTTTCTCTATATAAGATGTCTCCACCATTTGATAACTAGAATTTCTGCCAATATTTAATATGAGCAACACTTCTTATTCTTCTTTGAGGGTGAGAATAATGATTTTAAAAGGCAAAGATTGATGATGGCTGCTATTTACTTAGGATCAACAAGCTTTTTGTGGTGACCTATGAAGCGAAAAGAATCACAATCAAAAAAGTGTCAGGCAATTCCCCACCGAGCTTTCTGCTGAAGGAAATACATCTTGCTGAGAGCCCCAAGACTCACACCATACTCCTCAGGTGTCTGGGCAGCAATTACTTGTTCCCTTTTTCCTATCATGGGCATCCAAATTATTGAGCATCCTCCTGTCACCCAGGGACAACTTGTGCTCAAGTCACTGTCACACCTGTGATAATTTTTTGTTTTTTAAACCTAGATTCCTAAGGAAACAAGTTGAAATGTCCTGCAGTTGGTTGCTGCCATTATAAGTTTGTGGAAGTTAGCTGGTTAGGTGATTATGTCTGGGTGATCCAAATGAGTGTGCCTGGTGAGAGAGAAGCAGGCAGAGCCCAGGGGTAAAGCAGCACTTCCAGAACTTCCCCTGAGCTGTGGTGTGCTGGTCTCTGTGCTGGGGTTTGGGCATGCTCCTTCATAGGGAGGTAGCAGCAGGGATGGCAGTGCCTGTGCAGGTTTGCAGGTGCTGGGCATATTTTCCTGCTGGAGGGGCTGGCAGGAAG